TCTATATACAGTCCATGGCTTAAATGCCCTTGTCTCTGCAGTATTCTATGTGAGTGGTGACTTGACCCACTTTAAACGCCTCATGATCAACGGTTATAACTTTAAAGACTGTTTTCCGATTCTCTCTCTCTCTCTTTCTCTTCCCATGTGACAAATGACTTGTTTTGAAGAAAGAGTTGAAAACAAGAGCGGCTCAACGTCGGATGACTCGGCCTTTGTTGTGTTTGCTAAATCAGGCTTGTATAGAGGTTTTGGAGACCACCTGAAGGGAGAGCGGATTACCCAGCCCTGCATGGGTCTCACTTCAAACTCCCACCGGCCTCAGCCTCATCAAACATAACATTGTCTCTTTATGGAATCTGCCCTGGACATTTCTCACCAATTTAAACAATTAAATTCTGTTTATTTTTGCAAAGACCTACATCATAACAGCAGTCGCCTCGGAGGACTTTGAGATCACAGAATGAAATAGTTTGAACATAGGAAACGCAGTAATAACAAACACATAGGAGCCATTGGTGCATAGGGAGTGGGATGACCAGTCCACAGGTGCAGATGAAAGAAGATTCAGAAGTCCCATCATCACGCCATGAGTCAGACAATTGCACAGTGGGTGAAATGTGAATAACTTTGAGGATACAATGGTCCAATTGTGTTTTTTTTTAACATTAACATTATTCTTATGCGCCGCATGTTTACTCCAACAACATCAAGCGCAACATCATGAAACCACTAGTATAACATGACAGTTACCTTCATTTAAAGTCAGAAGAAAACTTTTGTGGCTTGTATGTCTCTCTCTGTCTCTGGTTTCTCTCTGGTCTCTCACTTTCTGGTCTCTCTCTGGTCTCTGGTCCCTCACTCTCTGGTATCTCTCTCTCTCAGTCCTGCTTATGCCCCTTATAGCGCGGTGTCCTCTTCAGCTATTTTTTTTATAGTTTATTCACTGCTTTTGAAAGCTGCAGCAGCTCTCAGACCTACAACCAAGAGGTTTGATATCTCTAGTCTCTCTCTGTTCTCTCGCTAGTCTCTTTCTGGTGTCTCTCTAGTCTCTCTCTGGTCTCTCTCTGATCACTCTCAGGTCTCTCTCTGGTCTCTCTGATCACTCTCAGGTCTCTCTCTGATCACTCTCAGGTCTCTCTCTCTGGTCTCTCTGATCACTCTCAGGTCTCTCTCTCTGGTCTCTCTGATCACTCTCAGGTCTCTCTCTGGACTCTCTCTAAGTCTCTCAAATTACATTATTATTTATTTTTTTGTTTTCTACACTAAGAGCTGCATTACTGGCTTAAAAAAACAACAACATTTCTCTCTCTGGTCTCTCACTCTCTAGTCTCTCTCTGGTCCTTCCCTCTCTTGTCTGTCTCTCTCTATTCTGTCTCTCTCTGGTCTCTCCCTCTCTAGTCTCTCTCTGGTCCCTCTCTCTGGTCTCCCTCTCTTCAGCAGTCTTGAGTTCAGGTAGTAAGAAAAGTGTATATAAAGTGTGTGTGAGGGGTTTTACAGCCTTCAAATATACAGCTGCTACTTTTGCTTATTGTAGGTTCATTTATTTACCATAAACCCTGCAATACACAATGGACCACTGTATATTTGTCCTGGTTCTCATTCAAAAATACTAACCAATGTTCCCCATGTCAAAGCCTCTCCATCTGCGTCGGCCTTTAATCACTTCGACACAATACTCGTCAAGAGCTCTCTTCAAACAACTTCAAACTTGTGCTATCGCTGCTTCCAACATTCTCCCCGACAACACATTATACATCAACAATAACCTAATTTACTCAGACATGTGTACAGAGCCGTTGGAGTGGCCGTCTTTACACGTCCCTCCACAATCGAAGCCCTCACCGCCGCACATTTCACAATAAAAAGCCACTCGAGAAACGCTTCTGAACCAGAACTGACGTTGTGTGAAGCTGTTTACATAATTACCCACCAGAAAACACATTCACCAGATGCTTTAGAGGTCGTCTGTTGAAGTGAAGAGAATGCAACGATTGCAATGAGACTCGAGGAGAGCGAGGTGAGGAGGTTAAAACGGCGCGATGAAAGGTTTAGTGATTCTCAACAAGTCCTTATAGAATCAGAGCCACTGTCGCCACCAATAACGCTCACTCCAGGCACTTGTGGATCCGGAATACTTCAGATTCCGAAGCGGCGATGTAAGCCCTCACAATGGTATGGAAGGACGATCAAGACGTGCTTTATTTAGGTAAGTAAGTAAGTCATCTTTTTTTTTTATATAGCAACTTTAACAGACCAGAGTCACAAAGCGCTTCACACTGCAAAAAATGTTAAAATATGAGGTTGTATAGATAGATTTATACTTTATTGATCCCCCGTAGGAGAAATTCAAGTGTCCAGTAGCAGCAGAAACACATCCATCCAGACAAACAGCTAAAATAGCGAACAAAATAAATAATTTTGTTTGCACTTACAATAGTTGTGTGTATATGAGTTGAACAATTTTGAAATGTTTATAGCATATTAATGTCATTTATAAATCCTTTGGGGCTAAATCCAGCACTGGTAGATCCCGGGCTATAGGTTGGAAACCCCAGGTCTAAGGACAGTGACGATATTGTACGTTTAAGGATATTTATTATTATCCCATGTTGATTGATCTGTTGCTGGCGAATCCACAGCTTTGTAAAGTCTTCCGAGACGACTGCTGTTGTGATTTAGGGCTACACACAAATGAATTGAATTGTTCAAAAGCGTGCAGGCGATTCTACTTGGTTCCTTTTGTATTACGACACCTCTCTTGCTGCACACACACAGTCCGTCGCTCTTCTCATCTTTAACAAAAGCGTCTTTGATCGTGTGTGTGTGAGGAATGCGCCACCTGCGAACACAAAGCCAGGAAGCGAACACATGGGGCTACGGGAGACCTTTTAATTAGCGCTAATTTACTTAGCACAGGAACGCCACCGCCGCTGCTGCTGCGTGTGTGAGTTAGCGTGGATCAAAGACATGTTAGCGCCCTGTTCTGCTGAGTCACCAGATAATAGGCGGCGATTATAATAGGCCCCATAGGACGGAGAGCGGGTGGAGGCTTGTTCCATCCCAGGACAAGATGCTGAAGCTACAGGTTAGAATTAGCACTGGTTATCTGGCACGGAACTGTCAGCGGAGTGAGAGGAGAGAGTGATGAGAGATGAGAGTTCAGGGTTCTTGAACCGGGGTCCATCAGGTAAGACAAGGCTCCGGATCGCCTCTTCCAGTGACTCGGAGAGACACAGGTTGGCGTGGCAACACAATCCAGCACTTGACCTGCCTCGCTCCAGGCAGAAGGTCGCACTCTTGTCTTTTTGATGCACAATTCAATGTATTCTTGTATAGCCCTAAATCAAAACAGTAGTTATGTCTGTACAAAGCTGTTGATTCGCCAACACAGATCAGAGCATCAAACAGTTCAAACACAAAAAATGCAAAGATAAAAAACACAGAGCCAATGGTCCATAAGGGGGATGTGACCAATGTCCATAAATGTTAAATGTTGTGGAATGTGGAGTGTCCTGGATCATCACCACTGTCCAATAGAACAGGAGGCTTACATCAAAGAGACACAGATCTGGGCTCGCTCTGAGGACCCCATAACACACAACAACGATAACAACAACACCACACAGACGCAATAACACATTTGTCTTCTGTTTATGTTTTAAAATGTATATAAGCACACAAACAGAGGTTGTAATACAGTACAAAAAGTTGAAGACATTGGGTATGCGCTTCACCTCTGTTTTAGAATGACAAAAATTGCTAACATTTGGCTAAACGTATTTTCATTTGAGCACATTCTTCCGAAGATTTGCCAATGGGACAATGGACAAAATGATTTTGTTTTGAAAAGATACAATAAATGTCTCACTTGGAATTAGAAAATAAAGCAACAGTTTTGAAATAAGAATAAATGGCTTTGTCCCATTGGGAAATCTTGTTTTAAGAAAGTCAGAATGTTCTCAAATTAAGAAAATACTCCTCCATTCAAGCAATTACTTCATCATTAAAATCCAGCGCCTTTTTCCCAGTTCCTCCTGGAGTCTTGACGTGTTGGTCATCCTCTCAAAAACGTTCTTGTCTGATGCCAGCCGAAGAAGTATACATTACTACATGCGACTGCAGACATATTATACGGTAGAAATTTCAAATACAGCACCAAGAATGAGCCGTACTTTTACTACTATACACAAACATCTCCCTGAGCCACAACAGTCATCAACCATCGGCTGTCAAGCACTAAAGCCAAAGACCCAAACTTCACTCAGATTCCTTGCACGCAAACCTCCAATGAATCAAGCTCGACTTTGAAATACAGCGACCGGAGGAGATGAGATAGTGTTGATGGATGACGGAGCCCTCTACCAAAAAAATGAATTGAAGAGAATAAAACCCAGATTGTGCTCATTAGACAAGATTGTATTGTCGTATAAGCTAATGTTGTTGTCTATACTAGGATTGCTGATAACAGAATATTTTTTTAAGTGTATATCTGTTTGTATTATGAAGCCATTTGTATCTAGTTTTAGTTGGTTGGATCAAAAACGCAATACTCTTAGTAGAAGTAGTAGTAGTAGTCATACTTGTATTTCAAACTTATGCAAAATGAAACTATGACTAATAAGATACAAAATAAACAGTTTGAAAATGAGTTTGGACGAAGCCTCTTTACTCCGGTTCATCCAGCTTTTTGTTCTCGGTCTTTCACTGACCAATGAATACAAAAAAACTGCACTTATTTGATTCATAACACATGCTAAGAAAGAAAAGAGAAAGAATATTTGCAGATGGATCAATAGATGAATGCAGGAATGTCTTTGAAAACTAAGGAACTATCTAAGCAGAAATAAACAGTTTGAATGAGAGGTTGGACCTAACAGTGATTTGGCTCCAACACCTCTCACTCATTCAAAACAAACCAAAACATTGTCGCCCAAATCTTCCTTGACGCGTTTCAAAATGGCGTCCTGTCTACCCTCCCCCCTGCTCCCTGTGATTGAATGACAGCCGCATCAGGATCCGACCGGCGCCCCATGTGCAGACAACACCCTCAGAACAAACCTCCGCTGACAACACCGCCACACTTAGCCTCCATCCACGCGCACGCCACTCACACCGCCGCCGTTGGTTTGTATGCGTCTCGGCTCCCATGTCCTCAACCTGTGACCGAGGGGCCGCGGGAGGCCAAGCCGTGAGGACCACAACATGCCAGGAAGACTTCTTATCACTTGTCGCGCGGGATGGGTTCACCCGTCCATCAAATCCTCAGCTCCAGTCGCCGTGACAGCAGACGAGACAGCCCTGGGTTCGGCAGTGATATATGAGCAACTCGCTTTCATCCGTCAAGTGTGGCTCCAGGAAAGGTCATTTTGAGAGATGTGTTTTTTAACACTCGGACTCCCAGAAATATGGAACTATACAAGAACTGCTGGGGTTCCATTGAAGCCCATGGAATTCTGAGAGATTCCCTCCAAAGAATGTCTAGTTTTTCACCAAATGTATTACAAGTGAGTATTCTATATTGTGTTTTGCTCTTAGAATAAGTTCATATAACTGAAAATACAGAAAAATGTTTGAAAAAAGGTTACCAAATGCTAATTGGAAGAAATGATCATTTATAGAAATTGGCTCCAGCTAGCTTACGTCCAACTTTACGACCTCTTCAGAATCAGAATCTTATTTCTAATGCCGTTGTATGTAACAGAAAGTCACAAATTAGGAATTTGCTTTGGCTCAAGATGTAAACAAGTTGTAAGAGTAAAAAAAAAGGTAAATGCATGCAAACAAAAAGTATTCAAATTATTGGAAGTGCCTACAAGTTCAAGGTGTGGGTTTAATTCCATCCCCAGGCCTTTCTGTTTAGCGTTTGCATGTTCTCCCCATGTCTGTGTAGGTTTCCTCCGGGTGCTCCGGTGTCCCCTACCACTAAAAACATGTTCAATAGATATGAATGTAGTGAGTGCGTGAAGGGATGGGCTTTGGCGTCTCACTTCCATCATAGATCGTATGAATGGAAAAACATCTGAACTCGGAACCTTGTAAAATTCTTCGAGTGACCGTGGTCTGTAATTTGCGCTATATAAATAAACATTACTTACTTACTTACTTACACTTAAGTTAAAGTGACAGTAGCATAAAGTGGCGGTCACAAAGGGCAGTGGTCAGAGGAGGGTCAGCTACATACATGTCCTGCAGTGATGGAAGGCCGATCACCTTCTCAGCATTAAGCATTAAAGCTAGCACCGCGGTGACGTTAGCCCTCGCTCAGTCCAATCCTCGGTCTTCGCCGACCTCCTGCAGGTGCCTCAGCTTTTTTCCGCGTGACACAATTAGCACCAGGCGCCGTCAGCTCCTCCATGTTTTTATTGGGACGCCGCTGTCATCGCTGCTTCTTCATTAACGGATGGACGCTCCTCTCGTACTGCAGGGACCTCTGCGCTAGCATCGCTAACAAGCCCCAAGCTAATTTAACCCTCGGTCCAGGACAGCAAAGCGAAAGCCCAAGGAAGTGACTCTGGAGGGGGGGCTGTAGAAGACACCGAATCAGGTCCCGAGAGCAATGGTCCGAGGAGGATTGGACCAAACAAGATTCTACCTGCAGTGAGAAGGACTGTGGGGTCGTTAAAACTCAAAAAACAGGAGCTGAGGGGGTAATAGAAGGGTCTGTGTTGGTCTGTGTTGGTCTGCGATGTCAGCGTTGCAGCTAATAGTGCTAGCACAGGAGATGGACTGTGTTATTTGTCCTCATCAAAATCAACATTTCTTAAAATTGGATCCTCGCAGTATAACTTACAGCAAACTTAAAGCCGAGGCACATAACTATTGTGTTTAAGCTATAATGCATATTTGTCCCAGATATTAGAGTTATTGTTAGCATACCTGTAAGAAAGCGCCCTGAGAGTCACTATTTGACTGTTAGGGCTGAGAGCTGATTGGCTGAGCGAGGGTGGGCCTGTGTTTCCACTTTTCTGTCTGCGAAGTCTGATTTAAAGATGTGACAGAGGCCAAAAAAGTTAGAGATGTTGTACTTCCTTAATTATTATGCTAAAGCTAGGGATTCTATACTTGGCACTTTATTGTTCTAAAATTACAGATTTTATTTTATTTTATAATAGAGTTCTACTGCGGAACGAATAAAGGATCTCTAAATCACTACAGTATCCTTTTAAAAACGCGCCACAAAAAAGCAATTATCGAAAGACGTTATTTGTCGAGCTCAATTAGCGTTGCAACATTGACTTGTTTTAATATTTTTCCTCCACATGTCATCGGCTCGTGTTAAATCACAAATTAGCAAATTTTTTCCTCCCACTTTGGTCTGCTCGATATAAGCAATCATAACACACTGTCAAAGCCAATTACACTGTCAAGATCAGAGATTTTAAGAGCACAATCAGAGTCAATTTAAAACAGGGCCTCTTCCTGTAGCTCTAATAGAGACGGAGCAGAAATGACAGCTCCAAAACCAATGCGTTATTTTTACAGCTACATTACACTCATTGAATGTTTATGTTTACGTCCCGGAGATTTCACGCTGCCGCACTGAAAATGTACGTACAACCCCTTTAAAGCAGGAAATGTGTCCAGAAAGTCACATTTAATTACGCTGTTTTTGTGTTCTATTTCCCCTTTAATGTCTATGACCTGGATGGGAAGTATGGGAAGCGCACTCAAATCTTGGCATTTCGTTCCGAGTCCAGCAAAATATTCTAATTTTGATAGCCACATCAAATCAGTGAAATCAGCAGATTTTTTGACGAACTGATCCAACCTGCTTTGTGAAGGAGAGGTTCCGCAGGTCCTTTCTTCTGCCGCTGTCAGACTGTACAATGAGAACTGCTGAGTCTGTACATGCCATCTCATATGTAAATAGTAAATACTGCAATTATATGCAATGTGCAATCCTGCTATTTCCGAAGGTCCCCTGAATGTCACTTTATATACTCATATCCTGTCAGACGTGTATATACACACACACACACACACACACACACACAGAGACGTATTGATATTCACTTACTGCTCATTTGTAGCATTTACAGAGAGTTAAGGAGCATAGGAGCTACATAGGTCAAACTACACATAGGTACCATCAATCTACACATAGGTACCATCAATCTACACATAGGTACCATCAATCTACACATATGTACCAGGGTGATATCTCTGAGAAACCTGCATAAAAATCGCTACAAGCAACACTAACCCTAACAAATAGAGCTCTCCTCAACCGGTCGATAGTTTAAGAAGGACACAGCTCCCCCAGTGGCGAGTTTGGGGCATCACACCCCAGAACACACGGCGGCACTGACACACAACTATTAATAATGAATCCTCAGAGAATTAAATTGAAAAAATAAATTGCTCTGAAGTTGCTGCAGTAGCTCAAGGGACCTGGGGATTAGATTTTGTTTTTAAGTCCGTTTTGTAAAAGGTAAATTGGTCATAATTCAATAATTATGCCCTTGTCGTTTTATTGCAATAATTATTCTAATAGGCAAACATGAATTATGCAGGACAAACAGTTTAGTGCAGTTTATTGAATATTCATGAGCGCGATCTGAGAAGGAGATTAGTCATCACAGTGGGGGATTCTGCTTACACCAGAAACAACAGTCATCTACTTTTGTGTTTAGTATTTTTCACTGTGTCATTTGTACAAGAGGATTCTAATCCTGCAAAAGGGAATTTAAAAACACAAAAACAGTTATTTGAGATTTGTATTATTTGTAGTCTTGCATCTCCACACCCCAGTCTGCTACATAATCCTGGATGTGTTATTCTGAATAAACTTTATTATAGATTATTTATGATTTTACTTGTTTTGGCCCTACTCTACTCGATTCTACCCTGATTGGGAGCGTCTGCACCGGCCCTGCTAAAATGGGACCAGGTACTTCTTTGGTTACCTTTTGGTCCTGGTTCTATCCCACTAAAGTGTTCTAACTGACAGTGATTGGCCAGAGTGCTGCTGGTCACCAAGGAATTACCGTGAATAGTGGTTTGTTGTGGGTAGGTTGCTAGGATACAGAAGTGGATCAGAACCAGGTAGAACAGAGTAGAGTAGAGATGGTGGAAACAGGGCTACAGCAATGTGTTTTCTCAGTCATATCATTGTAGTGAAGTGTGAAACCCATATTAATTTGGCTTCACAGACTGGGGGGGGTAAAGGGGGAGGTGAGGGGGGAGGTCTGTTAACGATTGGCTCAAACAAAGACCGTTCCCGCCCCCTCGGTCCAGTACCAATGGATTTATCACTGTCGGCCGCCTGCGGGGCTGGCCTCAACCGACCTCTCCTCCATTCTCAAGATAAATACCCTGTCACTGACCCCCCACCCCCTCCCCCCCTGTGTCCCGGTACGCCAATCCACCCAAACCCCCCTTGTGTCCCGGGAGGCCAATCTACCCCCTCATCCATCATCCACAACACAGTCATAATTTACCCCCAAAGAGTCCAACACAATATGAACCAGGTTTATAGAAACTTAGTGAATATTATGTAAGTAAATTGGACGTGTATTTTATTACCACTTCCAAAAAATGTTTTACTGGTATTATTGGTTCTTGTTAAACTAATACACTACTGTTTTTTTTCCATTGGATCACATATAATTATCCTGGTATGTTTCAGTAATGTAAATTCCACCCAGATCTCAAGCTTTGTTTCCACTAACCCTGCTTGGTCCTACTCTACTTGACTCGGCTATATCCTGATTGGAGGCGTTTCCACTGGCCCTGTTTAACCAGTACCAGGTGCCTATTGGTCCTGGTTCTATCGAGGCCGAGCTGGTACCTCACGGCGCCGGAAAAATGGCGCAGTGGTAAGAGCTCTGGTGTGTGCTATCTGGTGCACACTGGGGTAGTCCTGCAGTTTTTTTTCCTATGTGGTTTTGTTGCAAATGGCAAATAAATTCTTGAATCTTGAATCTACTAAGGCTGAGTTTACACGGAGACAATGTGGCAGTAAAACGGTATAGTTGGATGTCGGTTCCTACCAACCGTTTATACAAAGACTGTGTTCCAGGGGGGTGAAAACGTAAGTGTTCAGATCCAGCCTGCAGAGTGGGACAACTCAGAAACGCTGCACAGCAGGGAGCTTTTTCACACCCGCGAGAGGGAAAAGGTGTGAAATCCCCCTCTGCTCTGACCCCCGCCTCCGTGCTGCTCCCCGCACGTAAATTTGGACATGCGCAGTAGCGGAGAACAAACAAAAACAATAATGGCGGCGGGCACACTAACTAGCTACGTGGGCTTCCAGCGCGGGACAGAGGATAATTCTACACCTTCGTTCGTCCAAACGAGACCACGCGAAGCTCTAGGTTCA